AGCATGAGATGTTCATTCATGTTATTTTGCATTAAAACTAGTAGTAAAGATGAAGGGATGATCACGGTCACTTCCGCTCTGCGCTGCCGTTTGAACTGAGGCGTTTATACAGCAATCTGTCACGCCACATCAAAGAGCGCCAAAAAAACCTGCTTTTTTTTTTTTTTTTCCCCCGAAAAAGTAGCAATATATAAAACTTGAAGTTTCCAATGAAGCTCCACTCGTGCAGTGCAACAACAATGCAGTATTTGTTTGGTACACATGCGTACAGAACCGAAAGACCTGTACCAAATACGTGTACCGTTACACCCCTAACATATATAAGTCCAGCCCTTCTTGTTCAAGAAACTGTTCACTCAGATATACAGCATGTCACAATAGCGAAAAAAAGACTATCACAATTTTTTTTAATGGTGACTTCATCATGTTTATCTACTGTCATATGTACCACTGTTTTTCAAAAGTCGTACATTTTTTATGAACATATTCAAATTAAATTTAGAATCCCAGATTTTCTATGCGTGCACTTTTGAACCCCACTGTAGGTAAGTGATCAGAGAATTTACATTGTACAAATCTTTAGCAATGATATAAAAACATTCTGTTTGTGATACCATGTTGTTGGCTATTTTTAATGGTTTAATTGCTCGTGAGTAATTATAACGCGGAAGGCCTCCTGCCGTTTATGTGGTGGCTGCCATGCTGACACAGCTCCCCTCCAGGAAGACAGCACCAGTGAGTCATCACCAGCCACAAGCCACACCTGCCAGCTAGGATGCAATCTACCACAGACTCTGGGTTTTCCCCGCAGGCCTCTGCCGCAATAAGATCCGTGTTCTACACGCACCTGGGACCGGCACAGAAAATCTTTCAGGAAACGTCTGCTTCTTACACGCCTCAATTACATTAGATTCTCTCTAAACTAACATCAACAGGTCAGCTCTTGAAACAGGATGATGGAAAGGGTGCGCCAAATCCAATCAATGTTCATTTGCAAAATCTCTTTGGGCTAATAACGGCTTAATGCCATCTCAATCAAGACGATTTTTCAAAATGTTTACAGTTTTCTAATCGCCAAAGAGCAAGCGTTTACTGCAGACGCACATGTCTTGGTTTGACAGCAAACATCAAATACACATTACAGAGGCATATATATTGAAGACTAAGCAGCATTGTCAACGACAAACTAAAATGTGGCTTTGAACTCGAGAGGCTGGGATGGTCTCATAAACAGCCTGTTCCACACTTTAACAGCTGAAGCATCTGAAAACACTGGATTTCTTTGAAAACGGTGGTCGACACAGGGTCCTTTGTACTTCCAGCAGCTAGAAGACAGGAAAAGAGACGCAAAAAAGCTGTGGAAACAGTAGAGCATTTTCATTTGAACACTTCCTGTCAAAGTTTCAGTGAATGACAGATTCTACTCTGCCTCACGGATGAGGCAAAATCTGATTTCATGAAGAGCCCCCAAAGACATCGATCAAATTCTCCCAGCATTTTGGGCCCTGAGTGTGAAAATAACAAGTTTTGAGATGGCCATCTTGGGTTTCTGTCATTACTCCAGAGGGTAGGCAAAAAAATTTATAAAAACGAAGGAAGAGAGACCCCTGAGCAGGCTAGACGAGTCATATGACACAGCTCAACTCCCTCCAGAGCTCTGCTTTAAACTCATTAGGAGGATATGGGTGGCAAAGGCCCACTGCTTGCAGGCATATCAAATAGTGCTGCTGCACATTCATTATGAAGGTTTGCCCTATTATGAGCTAGAAAATGCAGTGCAATGACATTGTAATTAATGAGAGTTTTTTTTCTTCATGCAGATGGGGTATATTACTCTGGAAGAGGAATTTCACCTTACGTACAGGGCTCTGACTTCCTGTATAATAATAATTACACCTAGGAAGACGTGCCATAAAGCAGTACTGTCCCTTTCTCCATATATTTTCTTCTACGGTGAACAAGGATAGATTGACACAGTAATAAGACAGTAAATTGGTACAGTCCTGTTAGTCATGCACACAGGTCATTTTCTCTGAACACGTCACGCACTGCATAAGAGACTGGTAATAAAGCGGTTCGGCGGATGAAATATAAGTGCACTGAAGTACATGCTGATGTTAAATCCATTTTAACTTACCAGTCAGCTCGGAAAACAGAGCGAGACAACGGCTTTTACAGTAATTGGAGTCTGCAGAGAATCCATTATGGCTCTGAGATGGGGAACAGTGGCTGGGGTCCTGCCCACATGTCCCTTATAACACACCAGCCATCTTCTGCTTCCTAGATTTCAACTGTTCAGACCACTAATTGAGAGTTTTGAGGCTTGAGGGCCTTCTATGTGTTATTGTCTCTCGTATTATTAATTTTTCTTTGCACAACTGAATGCTCGATCACTGTAGTAATTGAGGGATTTTGTTCTTACTTTTAAGAAGTTCCAACAAGGAAGCCTGACCTAGATCCTTGCTAAGAGGTTCTTGTCTAAAGCCTCGTTTCCACCGCAGGAACTTTCCCCAGGAACTAGGGACTTTGGGCCGGTACTCTGTGTGTTTCCACTGCAGGAACCAGGATCTACATAAAGTTCTGGGTAAAAATTTGCCCATCAGAATGTCCCTGCTCGCGAGGTAGTACTTTTTCAAAGGTCTGGAACTTTCGGGGGCGGGACTTAGGCGCTGAACATGCTGATTGGCTGAGTTCATGCAGCATTGTATTTCAACCACCATATATTCGCATAATTTTTTTTAAATATTACTGTTATTATGCCATGAAACGTACTTTTAAAACTATTTCAGGTGAGAATGTAGTTGTTTAAAACTCAAATCTGCAGTTTATTTATAAAGACAGCACCTATTTGAAAATGTGCTTCGCCGATTTCGGAGACGTGAGCTCCACGCAATCAGCGGGCGCTCAGTGCTCATGTTTCCCGACGAGAGTGGCCTAACTTTGGCTAGTCCTTCTGACATTTGCCGCTGGCTCTGATGTCTCTGTAGTGGTTAAACATAAGATATAATTAGTTTTGGGTAAATCTAACAGGTAATCTTTGGTCTTTATTCTATTAATCTATTAATATATTAAAATGAAAATAAAAAGAGGCAATACTGTTTGATATAATATTTAGTTTCATTGTAATGTATTTACATTCCCTAAACTGCATTTCTGCGGCTATTAATATGTTTAAATGAAAACGAAAAGAGGCAGTGGTGTTTGATATCATATTTCGTCTTATTGTAAATACAGTGAGGAAAATTGCAGTAGCCAAGGCGAGCTGACTGACGTTACCAAGTATGCTGCTGTTTGCAGAATTACCGGACTTGCGTCATCCTGTCCGCGGGAGTTCACACTCCCGAGTCGAACTCGCGAAGTCCGAACTACCGAGGATGCAAGTCCGAACTTTGCGTACTTGGTATTGAGAAACGCGTGCAGACCTACATCACCAGACTATTTGCCTAATCTTCTCGGTACTTTAGACCGCGATGGAAACGCAGACAGCAACAGGTCTGGGGAAAAAAGTTCCTGGGACAAATTGTTCCAGGTAATTTTGGTGGAAAAGCGGCTTAAGAAAACACCTGACCTCAAGTATATTATAATATTAATTAGCAATTTTACTAAAGTAAGTAAAATAATATACTTACTATGAAATACTTTTTAGTCTACAGTGCAGTTGTTCTACAATGGTAATATATTTCTGTCTTAGACTACCTACTACTACTACTACTAGTAATAATAATAATAACTATTATTAGTGTTTTCCATACATTGATTTATTTGTGGCAGCCCGCCACAATATCAAAACTGACCGCCACAAATACATTTTCCAAAAGGCTTTGACTTTTGTATTTCTGAAGGAAACCGACTGTCTTCAGAAAATTTTGGATGTCATTTTAATTTCATCTAGCATGTAATGTCTGATAAAGCAGCGTTTGTGAGCGTAGCGCTGCTTTGTGTACAGCATTACCGGGGAAACCTCTATTTCTCCCGCTCTAAGCACCTCCTGCTGGCAGAGAATGAATTTGCATACTGTATATATGCCGCCACAAATACAGTGTAAGTCTGTGGGAAATACTGGATGGACAATATTATGGGAACATTATCGGCCGATAAGGCTTAAAATGTAAACATCGGCATCGGCCTGATATGAAAAATTATGCCGATATGCGTTGCCGATAAGTCAACAGTCACTAGGCATGCAGTATCAACAGCCTCCCCCGGGTCCTAATGTCCATCCGGTAAAGCATTTTATTATTTAGGGGGCGCTATAGGCCTACTTGTAATAAAAATGAAAGTAAAATACACAAATAACATTGACATTGCATAAATAAACCAGTGATTAATGTCATAAAATCATGAGTCAGTTTTGTTAAAAGTCAGAAGCTATAGCTTACATGAATAAAACAAGGCACTTGTAAATTAGGCTAAATAATTTTATACTGTATAAAGATTTATTCATTAATGTGTAATATATTTTATTTTTTATAATCTCTGAACTGGAGAGACTTGTTGTTGTTTCCAAACATAAAGAAATATATCGGTATCGGCACCGGATATTGGCCAAAATTAGTACAAAATATCGGCATATCGGATATCGCCAAAAATCCAATATCGTGCATCTCTATTTTTTTTTATTATTTAATCCCACTCAGAGCTATAAGGCCTAAGGAATCTCAGACAGCAGAGTTTCAATTAATAATAAAATATTTTTTTCATTGTTATAAAGAAACTTTTTCATTATTCTTACTAATATTATGTTGACACTAACTATCAAATATTTATTTTAAGTTTTTTTATTAAGTTTTTAATTATAATATTTTGTCATATTTTTTTCACTTTCACACATCATATGCTGGTGGTTCAGTTATACCCTCATTTTGGCGGAAAACATTTGGCAAAATTTTGAGTTGCAGTGTGTAATTGACCATAAGTTCTAGTTTAATAATAGCCACAATTTTGTCACAATTTAGATTCTATTTAGAGTCAATGTGCAGCCCACACCAACAGGAACTTACCCAGGCCAGGAGGTACTTCCGGACATGGCGGTAATGGCTTAGGGGTCGGCGGTGTGTGGTTGGCCTCTGGCTTGGTGCTGGGCAGAAGATGGTCAGCTGTGGCCAGGTAGCTTGCAAAGGTAGTGTTGGGCCTTCCGCTGGAGAAATTATAGTAGTTGTGGTGGGGTCCTCGTGAGCTGTTCGCTCCACGGCCATTGTTGAAACGGCTGAAGATGTCGAAGCGTTGGCTGTAGACATCGAAGTAGAGGATCATCATGATGAGGAAGTGCACCAGGCAGAGCAACAGCACAGCCTTGCAGATCCGCTCCAGGGTCCGGCCCAACATCAGCCGGCTCATGGTCAAAGCCACACGGCACGCTCCGCTACACACATCCGGTCAACGTCACTTCTCCGCACCGCTGAACCCTCCCGGACTGCAATTTACTAATATCACCTACAAAACAAAAACGAGGGGAGTTATTATTAGACTCCTGTGCATTTATGATTTCACTGTTGGGGTGAGACCAAACTTCAGATGCCCATCAGGCCTAAAGACAAAGCATAATTCCAAATGCAGAAAAATCTTTAAACAGAAGCATTGTGCATTGTTAGGTTTAAATGCTCTCTATTGCAGCAGACAATTAGGCTACTGTTTAACCAAACACTAATTATGTTAATACGATGTCAGAGTAGCTTCCCTATAACTGTGCTAATACTGCAGTAGTATATGTGGTAATAATTTGTGTGCTGGAATGTAACATAGCCTAATTCATTTATAGCATTTACATAAATTAGAAGTCCTCAACTGGTTTTGCTTAGCATCCAGATTCTATAATGGAGTGGCAGTGGCAATCCAACATGCTATCAAAATGTTTCAAATATACACTACTGTTCAAAAGTTTGGGGCTAGTAAAGTTTTTTAAATTAATTATATTTTTTATTAATATAAAATAATAGATTTTTATTTATTTATTGTTTATTTAGCAAGGATGCATTATGTTTATCAAAAGTGGAAAAAAAGCTATTTTCAACACAAAATGAGCACAAAACTCCAAAATATCAAAATGATTTCTGAAGACTGTAATAACTGCAAAAAAATCAGCTCTGACATCACAGTGATAAATTATATTTTAAAATATATTAAAATAGAAAACAGTCAAAAATCTTTTTGACGCTAAACTTTCGAACAAAAATGTCTTTGGTCAAACATTGATATTAATATTAAGTTCATGGTTTAACCAAAGCCCATTTTGTCAATTGTCAGATTGATTTTGCTATTTTAGCGATATGTTGCTATATAGTTAGCTGCATTTTATTATTTGCACTTTGAACTGTTTTTTCTTGCTGTTCACAGCTGGAAGAGACCCACCAGCTGTGAAACACTGATTTTAATCATTAATAATTTATTAAATGAACAATAGCAATCTAGAAGCTTGTGAGTACATTTTTTAAGTTGGACTGACACTAGGGTTACGCCAGACTTTAATTATAGAATAAGACTGCTTTGTACTTAGATCCATGGCAATTATTATTCATATGCATTTAAAAAGAGAATACAATTAACCCTGAAGTTGAATGATCTTTAACATAAAATTTATTTTTCACATCATAATTGTTCTGCATAATTTTGATAAAGAAAGTCTAAAGTGACTTTCAAAGCCCCATTAACCATGTGAAGCAAAAATAAATGTAAGAAAAATCTATTCAAGACAATGTAATTTACACAGCAACAGTGAAACTCCAGCTTTCTCCAGGTTTAATTGGGATAAACAAGAAAACACTTAATAGCTGTCCAAGTCTTGCTGTGAGCAATTACAATGTTGACGGGATTTTCCAATCAACCCTAAGTGTAAGAGGCCAAAGGCAAGGAAGTTTACGAATCAACAGACACACAGCCTGAAGTCAGAGACCTGCGGCTAATTTCTCACTCTCTCCTGGCGTGATCGCTGGATGAAACTGGATGGGAAAGCCTCTTGATTTCACACATGGCCAGCTGTTGAAAGCTCCCCCACGGCAGTTCGGATGGGGGGGCTCACATCAGCAGCTTGTAAGCGCTAACGCACAGGCTGACCGTGTGGGGGAGGAAGTATAGGATAATGGGATTTCTTGTGACTCGTGTGACTCCTCTGCAATACCCATCATCAGCACTAGGGAGAAAAAAACACTGTCTGACACAATTCACATGGCTCAGCCTGGTTTGAGCTCCTTTAGGGAATCGCTCAACACTCAAATCACACCGGCAGTCACAGACACAGGAACAAGCCAAAAATACTGTTACTGAGAGGTGGGAGAAGAGGTAAGATACAAAATAAGAATAGAAGGTGACTGGGGTCATTAATTAATAACCCCCATGTCGTTCCAAACCTGTAAGACCTTCGTTCATCTTCGGAACACAATTTAAGATATTTTTTATGAAATCTGAGAGCTTTCTGACCCTGCATAGACCACAACACAACTGACACATTCAAGGCCCAGAAAGGTAGTAAGAGCATCGTTAAAATCGTCCATGACGTCCATGTGACATCAGTGGATCAATCATAATTTTATGAAGCTACGAGAATACTTTTTGTGCGCAAAGAAAATAAAAATAAGGATTTTATTCAGCAATTTTTTTCTCTTCTCTGTCATTCTCCGCGGTGGTGTCCATTGGTGTCTATGCAGGGTCAGAAATAGGGATGGGTATCGTTAAGGTTTTAACGGTATTACTACTCTTACCGATACTACTTATCGATTCAGTACTTTAACGGTATTCTTATCGGTACTTTTTGTTATATATATATATATATATATGACAAATTAAGAGATGAATTAACATTGCTTTATATTCTGAAATGTAAAATAAATATTTAATGAAATGAATATAAAACATCAATTTGTAAATGCACCAGTGTGCAGGCATTTTTTGTGTTTTATACATAAGATAAGATACTCGATACTCCGGTCTTTCATAATTTAGCCCCGGGAACGATTAAATACCGGGTTTCAGTACCCATCCCTAATCAGAAAGGTCTTGGATTTCATCAAAAATATTGTCATTTGTCTTCTGAAGATGAACGAAGGTCTTACGGGTTTGGAACGACATGAGGGTGAGTAATTAATGACAGAATTTTCATTTTTGGGTAACCTACCCTTTTAATACCATCCACTTTTCAAATGTAGTTTATTCATTATATTAAAAAAAAAAATCTACTGAACAACTTTCAGGCATGTTCAGTCTTTCTGCAAATGCCCACTTATTTATTTTTGTTTTCCTCATAAATGAATGGATAACTGTGGTAACCAGGGTTTGTTTATCTCCATTCTAAAGGAGACAGGGCCCAATAAAGAACAAGTTGCCACTATATCTATAGATTCCAACATCTAACATCATTAATTATTTATTGTTACACATACAGTATTTTTCCTGTAGACTTGTTGGGTTTCTATTCACAAGTCTACATGTCCATTTCTTGCAGGTGAGTAATATAAATACATTCCTAGACATACACTACCGTTCAAAAGTTTAGGGTAGGCAAGGTTTTTGTGATGTTTTTGAAAAAAAGTCTCTTGTGCTTACCAAGGCTGCAATTATTTGATCAAAAATATAGTAAAAACAGTAATGTTGTGAAATATTATTGCTACTTTGATATATTTAAAGTTGTAATTTATTCATTCTATGGCAACGCTTAATTTTCAGCATCATTACTCAAGATGATTTGGTGCTCATTATTTGATGAATAGAATGTTCAAAGAAACAGTATTTATTTGAAATAGATTTTTTTGTAACATTGCAATTAACATTTTGATTGATTTAATGTGTAATGTTGGTACTGTCATTTTCCACCTGTACTCTTGCACTATAAAAAAAAAAAAAGTCAAATCAGGTAATGCATATTTCACGCATATTATGCAAAATAACTTTTGTGGTATATAGAACTTGCACTTAAAAAGAGCCGCCTAGCTCATAATTCTCTGCATTTTTGTCTTTTCATCTCCTGTGGCCTTATGGAACAAAAAGTGTCCAGTGGTTGCACACTCACATCAGTGCATCATTCAGTTATTGTTCGCTTACTATAACAAGAGACCTGAAATCAGTCTCTCAGCCTCACTCACGGTTCCCTCTAATTATCACATTTCTGTGATCATTCAGGTTAACTGCCAAGGAAAGCCAACGGAGGCTGCAAATTCTGCAGTGTGTATCTTTCTCTGGAGCTGGAGCTGTGGGTGGATGCTTCAGCACAGTAATGGTCCTTAATATAGGACATCAATATAACACTAACCCAATAAGACTGAGGTCACACTAAGTTGCTACTCCATTGATATATGGTCTTCTCTCAAAATCGCATTTGCAAACTCCTTATCTTTGCTTTTGCTGTCATCAGTTCCTTCTTAAACTTTACACTCTTCTATGAACTAGAAGTTTGTCTCAAAGAATATATTGTATGCTGAAGTCCCAATACCAAAGCTCCTAAAATATTCATCACAGCTCCAAAGGCCTTGTAGAAGAAGACCCCCTTGGCAAAATTTTGAGCAAAAAGACTTTCTCCAAAGTTCTTACCACACATCATTTCCTTAGCTTCACTTTTTAGCCATCAGACAGTACAAAACTTTTTATCAAAGCACTTTATAGCTAAATTTCAACAGTCATTTTGGGAATAAAGCAATATAGAATGACAATAAAATTAATTAATAAGGCAATATCAAACCAGCTACTCTTTTCAAATGCTATCTAATCAATTCTTCAATAAATGGAACACTTCCAGATGCCCTAGAATAGTTCCACAGGACTGTGCTCATTAATTTAGTATATCCACTTAACTGTAATATTATTCATACTCTCAAAGAGGGACTTACTATGCATGCACTGGTTCTCAAAGCCTCTGTTGAAAACGTCAATGCTAATGAGGTTATATTTTTGAACACTCCAGAAGTTAGCAATTTGGTCTCAATAAAGTCAGGATCAATAATAAGCCAAGCCCCTGAATCACATACTTTCCCACATTAGACAAATTTAATAAACTAAAAGATTGATACTAGCACAAATTCAAGCAGCTCAGGCTGACCCATAACAAAATTAGCCAGAAATAGAGGCTAATGAATATTTTACATCCCACCTATGTCATAAACTAATGGGGAAAAAAAAAGCAAGGTTTTACATCGACACAAGGGAATCCATCAAATAAACTGGCAACAAAATGTGTAGAGCTTCTATATGCTTAATTTTTTATAACCAACAAACCGAATAGTGGCACTTTCTTGGTTTGCATTATTCATGCTGGCCTTCAACCTAACATTCACTAAATAATCAAAATGTAAACTAAACAGTAAAAAGAAGAGATTTAAGTTTTTGTAGTACATGCCTATACAAAATTTGTTTTAAATTGAACTTAGTGTTATTTAGCAAGCTTGCTGAGCTATATTATAATGATCTACGCTTAAATGTGTCACGATGCACACACACGAGGAACGAGGAGA